CAGGAATTAGGGATTAAACACCCGGGACAGGGGGAGAAAGGACATGGTTAGTCCAGCAGGAATTAGGGATTAAACACCCGGGACAGGGGGAGAAAGGACATGGTTAGTCCAGCAGGAATTAGGGATTAAACACCCGGGACAGGGGGAGAAAGGACATGGTTAGTCCAGCAGGAATTAGGAATTAAACACCCGGGACAGAGCCAAACCTGGAATGGGGACAGGGGATACAGTCAGTCCTGCAGGAATTGGGGATTAAACACCTGGGACAGAGCCAGACCTGGAATGGGGAGAAAGGACACGGTTAGTCCAGCGGGAATTAAGGATTAAATAGCAAGATTTAAAAGGGCTGCACAATGGGTAGGGGGGGATTTGGGAAATGGGGGAATTGCAAAGGGTCAATGGGGGAGTTATAAAGGGCAATTATGGGAATCATAAAGGGTAGAAGCGGGAGTTAAAAAGGGCAAATGGAATTACAAAGGTCAAATGTGGGAATTACAAAGGGCAAATGGGAGAATTACAGAGTGGAAATAATTCAGGTGAGAATTTTGTCCAGTTTAGTTTTCAAGCTGGTAACTCTTCTCCTTCCCAAGAAACCCTTTTGAACTTCATTGCTTCAATATCTGATGATATTTTCCAGACCCCCACTGTTTTCATGCTAAAAATCCCTTGTCCTGTTCCTTCTCTTCTCCAGGGTTTTCAGTGTGTGGCACCGCTCTGTCTCACTCCTATTAATTGAAAGCCACAACTCCCAACCCAATTCCATATTTTAAACTTGGATTTTAATCCTCACTGCACTGGCAAGAGCAGAACCCCCGGGGGAGAAGCTCCTTCCCTCCTCTCACCTGGTTCCAGGTGGAACAGAATGATCCAGGATGGAGACCCACCCATCTTTTATTGGTCTCATTACAGATCATCTGAATATTTGAAATCACACAGCTCTTTAAAACCCAACCTGATATCCAGGCCAGATTTTTCTGGGCATTGTTTAATTACAGATTGTCAGGCCCTCCTTGCCCTGGATTGTGCCCACACTAATTGGGTGAGGAAAACAGTGGGGGAGAGGGATAATTTCCTTTACTTTACCTTTGTGAAACTGGTGTGGAAGGAATTAAGGTCTGGCAAAGGGTGGGCTTGGACTGATTTCCTGAAGAAGTCCCTACATTTACCCCAGGACTCTGGGGGAGAGAGAAAATTTGTGTCTCCCTCTAAATATCCCATTTTAACCTTCTAAAATCCTCAGGGCTTCCCCTTCAGCTTTCCCCGAGTGATTCGAGTCAAGTTGCCTTTAACTCAGAGGCAGGGAAAAGGCACCACAGAATATTGTCCCAGCTAAACAGCTGCACCTGGAATGGCCAATTTTGGCTTGGGGAAAAGAACTGCTGCTGCAGATTGCTCCCAAAGCTGGGATCTTGGAGTGGCCCAAGGCAGACAAACAATTTGCCAAAGCTCATCCCGGTGCTCATGAAAAGAGGTGGAAAAGGAGCACTTGGGTGCTCCTTCTGGGTCTGGAATTCAACCCTAAAAATGAGACCAGCTGAAATAAACTGGTTCAAACGTTTATAAAAATAAACCCACTCAAACAGGACCAGCAGTAAAGTGGCTTTTTTTAGTAAGAAAAATCTGTGCAGGATTTTGAAAATATTCAGGACAAGTTCTCCAGCTGTGGGAAGACACCGGAGCCTCCTTGAAGGCAGCTGAGGATGAGATTTAAATTAAAAATTAGTGCTTAAAATTATAATTTCTTTAATGAATCTGTGTCTTTAGAATATGAAAGGAGCACTTGCCACTGTAAAATTACTGAGGCTCTTCAGAATTCTGAGGGAGTTTTCTGTCGTGTCCCTGCTTTAAATGAACACCAACAGCTCAAGCTCTGAAGAATAGAACTTAAATGGACTTAAAACTGAAGGAAAACAGAAAGGATATTTCTGGAAAAAAACACCCCCTTGCCATTTCAGAAGCTTAACCTTTGATTTGATATTTAGCCAGCAATAACAATTGATTTAAAAGGCAATAATTGATTCAAAATTGACTTACCCGGATCACCAAGGAGAAGAGTTAAAGACAAGTGATTAGGAGGGTTCTACTTGGCAAATGCTTTTATACACTTAGTCAAATGGCCTGGAGGATGTGACACCCTTTTTGCATGAAGTCTTAATTAGTTGCAAAACAAACTTTGCTGCATGCATAACTTCTGCAAGTAATGAAACTGTTTTGCTCCCTGTTTGTGTTTGTTCCCTCTGGGACCTTCCCAGACCCGAGTCCGTGGCCCAACCTCCAGGCAGGAGCCCCCGAGGTTTCCTGGGCCAAAAAAGGGCCTGATCTGCTTCTGAAAGCACAGTTCAGTTATGGCAGGGCTCCATCAGGGCTGCTGGGCTTTGCATTATGTTTTTTCCTCTCAAATTCGGGCTGGGAAAGGGATTCAGGGGAGTAACAGCAGCAGCTTTTCCTGTCGGGAAACAGCTTTTGTTTTTTTTTTCTTCATTTCCCAATTTTGTCCAGTGTGGAGGAGATTTTTTTATTCTGAAACGCCTTTAAATGTAAACCTGCATAGTTTATATCTATAGGAACCTATATAGTTTATATCTATAAAAACCTCTATAGTTCATATCTATAGGAACCTGTGGGTGTCCCTCTCTGTGGATATCCAAGGATAAGGAGAACAACTCAATAAACACTCAGCCATTTTCACAGTGCCATTAAACACCCCTGGGCAGAATGAATCCCAAAGGAGGGAGCTCTGCCTTGTCTCACATCCCCCCCAGTCTTTACCAACAGGGCTTGTGTAGGATTTGAGGAGCATCTGGGTTTGTTTCTGGCTCGGAAGGTCTGACCCTGTTGCAGTGAAAGGCACATCAACACCTCCCACGTTCTCCTGTCCCTGACTCCAAGTGGAGTCACAGAGTCACAGCTTGTTGGTTTTTCTGTTTATTGGATTTTTTTCCCCCTCTCCCCCTAGTTTTTGACCAGGTTGTAAAGGACAATATTATAGGAAAGGTTGTGTTCTGAGACTGGTGTTTCCATCCAGGCTCTGTTTTTCTGTGACTGAGGGGGGAAAAAATAACACTCAAGAAACAGCTCTGTCCTGATGAGAACTTAATTTAACACAGGTTAGAGTTGTGAGTTCAATATAAAACCAGTAAATTATTGGAGAAAATGGGTGTGGGCACTTTGGCAACATTTTTATGAGGGACCCAGAAATGTGGATTTAAAAGTGTTTTTGTAAAACGGGAAATCAATATGGCAGAAAAATTCTAATAAAGGGGAGGAAAATCAGGAGTCCCATGGAAACAGATTTCTGAAGGAGCCACCAGTCAGAGCAGCCAGGAGGGTTTTGGGATAACAGTCTCCTCCTGCCTCGCCAGCTCATAAATCAGAAACAGTTTGATTTAATACATTAAAAGGTGTCGTTAATTTAAATCTCGTTGTCATGCAGGGATGGGGCTCACTCACCTGGCTGGGGACACACTTCACAGGGCCACTGCAGGTCCCCGTGCTCAGCCCCGCTGCACAAAGCTCCATCTGCATAAATCCCAGGAAACCTTTTGTTCCCGAGTTCCCACAAAGGCTTTTGCCTTAGGACCCCTCTGGAGCTGCAGGTGATTTACGCTGCGAGGGAAAACTGCGAGTAAATAATAATTAGGACCAAAGGAATCCTCGCTCCCGGTTTGCAGGGCGAGGGAGGGAGGGAAGGAGGGAAGGGAGGCAGCTCCTCTCCTGGCACCTCTCCCCGGGAATATAAACCTTGGGACAGAGGAATGAGGATTCCTGGCAGCCTTTGGTGGCAATGAGGTCCCAGGGTGGATTTGAGACAAACTTTAGTGTGGGGTTAAAGCTTTTTGGCACTGGGGTGACTAGGAGAAGTGGCCCAGCTGGGAGGATTGCCCTGCTCAGGGTGGGAGGTGTTTTATTTCTTTATTCATTGCTGTTTATCCACAGTGCTGGAGGTGCCTCCTGGAAGGGGCAGAGATGCACCAGCTGCTCTGGGGAGCTGAGGATCTGAGGCTGAAACATCTTATTGCATCAAACTGACATTTTGCTTTCATTTGTTAAAGTGGGAGAGGGCAGGTTTAGATTAAATATTGGGGATCAATTCTTTACTCTGGGGGTGGGGAGGGTTGCCCAGAGAAGCCGTGGCTGCCCCATCCCTGGAATCGTTCAAGTCAGGTGGGAATATCCTGAGATTTACCCCTAATTAACCTGCCTAAGCCCTGCTCTGCCACTGAGGAGCTGTGGAACATTGAAGCTGTGCAGGAGGGTTATTTCAGCTGAAAATTTGTATATAAACAGACAGGGGCACTAATAAATAGTTACATATTTTTATTTTGGTGTAGTGAGGTTTGGTCCTTGCAGTTCAACCACTCAACACTCCTTTTAAAGAAAACAATTGGTTGTGTTTATATGAAATACACACAACCTGCTGCTCACAAGCCAAGTGAAGATAAACCCTAAACATGAAGGTAAAATAAAAATTCCATTTTTTAACTGACTGCAAACCACCCCATGCCCTGTTCTTAGGGAGGAGAGCATCGTGTGCAGTAGATCCCTTAATTAATTACTGCAGTTGCCCCAGTGGCTCAGTTTTATGGTAAAGCAAAGCCACCTTTTTGGGCACTCCATAAAAATGCTCCTTTGCCCTTCCCTCCCAGCTGGACTTTTCGTTGCCTTTGGCACATTTTAATTCCAGTTATTATCTGGGTTTAATAGCGAAGCACAGAAGCTGAATGAATTGTCAGAGGTCACTCAGGGAGCAGCCTGGAGTGAAGCAGCCTCTCCTCACTGCCATTTATCACATCATGGATAATTGGGATCTCAGCAGCCCTTTGAAGTCTTAACTGGGGTTCCATTGCCTGCACCAGCACAGGAGCAGCTGATTAGGCCTGAGAAACAAAGGAGAAGGATTTCCTCCCTCCTGCAGATGCCACAGGGATTAAGGGAGGGGCTGGCAGGGCTGGGAGTGCTTTTGGCCGTGTCCTGAAATGGCTTTTCCAGTTTGGCCCAGGAAAGCTCTGCCAGTCAGGGAGCAAACACAGCCCCGAGTTTGAATCCCTTAAATCTGAAGAGCCCCCAGTTCATTCCCATCTGCCAGAGCTGTTCCAGGAAATCATGGAATGGTTTGGGTTGGAAGGGTTTCCAAAAACCCTCCAGTGCCACCCCCTGCCACGGGCAGGGACACCTTCCCCCATCCCAGGTTGCTCCAAGCCTTGGACACTTCCAGGGATGGGGCAGCCACAGCTTCTCTGTGCCAGGGCCTCCCAGGGAATAAAATTTTCCTAACAGCCTGCTCACAGTGAATAGAGAACACTGACTTTAAATTTTCCCCTTTTCCACAAGACAAAAAAAAGTGCCAGGTTTTCCAAAGCTGCTTAAAGTGTTTAAAGCACAATCCCTAATTAAATCCCATGGCTTTGTTTATGTATTTCGAAACTTAAACTGCCACTTAAGAAATCTGCAATTACTGCAAATTACTAACTATGGAGTAATGATCTTCAGTAAAAAAATAATACCTTTTTAATGAAAATCCTGCATCAAAAATCATCCCTTAGGTAATGGTTGGTTCCCAAGGAACAATTGTCTCCATGTGGATTTAGCTGCTTTTCTGAAACACATAAAGGGGAGGGGGGAAAATAAAGAAAACAAGTAAATAATAAGAATAGAAATAAGAGGCCCAAACTGTGGGAATTTTCTTAAATTAATTGAAATATTAAAAAAGCCTTTTGTGTGTGAGCTCCTAATTAGCTTCCCAGATTGTTTTTTTCTAAGTTCTGCATTCTCTCTGTGATGGTCAGACTGGTCCCATCTGCATATTTGCATATTTTCTGACCTCGGTGCATAACTAGAGGAGGTCCATCAATAACCTTGACACGCCTCTCAGGGTGACTTTGCAGGCCTGTTTCAGAGCTCTGCAATCCTGCTGGATGCCTGAAATACGATAATGAGCGTTTTCCACGGATAACTCGTTAATGGCAGTTTGCGAAGTGCTCTGAAAACCCTTCGATGCGAAACTTCCTCGGGCTGTTCCCGGTGCCTGGAGCTGCCCCGGGGTCTGTGCGGAGACTTCGGCTCTGCAGGAACAGCTCAGGAGATGGGGGGCACTGACTGAGCGAGTTAATAAAGAAACGAGAACAGAAACGAGACACGAAATGCTTTTCAGAGAAAGGGGGTGGAACACGGAGGCTTTTCCCTGCTGGAATCTCCCAGCCTTTCATCCCGTGGTGCCCCAGCGGGGCTGACGTGGGGGGGGCACAGAGGAAAGGCTGGGGAATTGGGGTCGTTCTGCCCGGGCAGAAATAGGTGGTTTTGTGCCTCAGAAAAGGACGTTTCTGGCCGTGCTCACCCTTCCTGAGGGACCACGCGTCCCTCCTCACTCAGGCTCTGGTTATTTGGGCACCAACCCCAGTTAAAGTCTGTCCCTGAGGATCGGGGGAAGAGCTGCAGCCACCAAGGGCGACACAAACCTCGTCCCCAGGTAGCCCATCTCTGGGCTGCTGTGCCCAAACCTGCAGCAGGGAAAGTGTGTGAGCTCTGCCCTTCCCCGCAGACGGAACCCCCGCCTGCAGTTGTTTACCCGCTCCTCGTTTGCTCCTGACAGAGCAGTAAAAATCCTCCTCTGCAAACGCCTCCCGAATGCTGAGCTGTGCTGGAGGGATCCCCCCAGGCGGAGACTCTTATCAGGAGCTCGGCGTCCTCCCCATCGGCTGCCAGTGCCAGGTGCTCATTAATGGTCCTGCGTTCCCGGCGCTGGGTGATTATCCCGCTGTGCTGCTGGCTCCAGGCACCCGGGAATTGAGAAATAAAACCCCTTTAAGATAAACAGAGCAAAGCCTCAGCCGTCACTCCACTGATCAGCTCATAACCAGGTCAGGGTTCTTGGCCTCATCATGCCTTTTTTTTTTTTTTAATTTCCTACACATTTTCCATATTAAACCCCACTAATTGAATGGATAAAATCATTTACTATCTCAGGGAACCTTCGTCCAAGTGGATGCAAATGGACTCCCCCCATGGCTTTGGGTGTCTTTGCCTCTCAGAGGAGGGATTACAGGAAACCACGGAATCATGGAATGCTTTGCTGGGAAGGGACCTTAAAAATCACTTTGTTCCACCCCCTGCCATGGGCAGGGACACCTTCCACTAGCCCAGGTTGCTCCACCCTGGCCTTGGACACTCCCAGGGA